CTGCCTCTGCATCATTACCTGACTGAAGTGTTACTTGGCGTAACCGCTCTTCACCGTATTGTACGGAGTTTGGGTGACGGGCGAGAAGCATCAAATTGACTGCTTTAGCTTGAACCCCTATTAGTTGCCATAGGAAGTACCACTGTTTTTGTCGTCTAGTCTCTTATGTTTGGTGGAGTTCACCCCGGACTAAGTCAAATTAGAGCACACAACAGTCAGAGAATTATGGTATTGTTTCATGTTTTCCTTTTTGGAGGGACCAGTGGCTGTCTGGTTGGTACTGCGTCAGCCCATGATGCTAAATGCGAACGCTGCTCTGGTTATGACTGAATCTTCAATACTATGATCAAAAGTGATTGATCCATGATCATTGTGTTTGGGTTACTTAGGATTGGTCTAACCCTAACACCTTTCCCGCAAAGAAAGTTTGGTTTGCATGGCTTTCTTGAGGGTCTTCTGACACTTGAATTGTTGCAGCTGCAAGGGAAGTGGGACAATTTATGTCCCTTATTTGGAGCTCGGAACACTTGCTGTAGGTCATTGTTGGTTGCTACGTCAACTGAAGGCTCTTCGGTATCCTAGCACCTGCTGCCTAGAGTGGCAAATGTCGTGTGACTGTACCGCTCATTGGTAATTGCCTGAGGGCCGCCGGCTGCAAATAAAATTGTCCAGTGACGGTCTCGATCATGATTAGGTGTCAAAACTCCACTTGGCTGAACAGATAAGTGTCGGGTGAAATGCAGATCAGGTGTAACCGAACAGCTCCAAATTGCTTATGTCCTTGTGAAAAATTGCATTCCAAGTGACTGTAAAACACCGTCTTTATCCATCCCGCCTCTATCGCCAAATGGTTGCAACCCGATACTCATGGAACGGGCACATTCCGAGAATCTATGTATTTGACCAATTTGGGCTACAGGCCTGAAGTTGCACAACCGTATTGCGTCAACGCATGATGCCAAATGCGAACGCTGCTCTGGCTATGACGGAGTGTTCAATACAGTGATCAATAGCGGTTGATCTATGATAATTGTGGTTGGGTTAGTTAGGATTTATCTAATCCTAACAGCATGTTAACAAACTTCGCAAAGTACGGCGTAGCACTTCTCCTCGAAACACCGGCTGTGGGCAAGCGCGAACTCCCCAAGGAACAGATAATGCTCTTAGACCTCATTTCGCTTGTACTTTGCAGAACGTATCGCCGTCTCATATCATTCTCACACAAATCACATTACCACCAACACAGCCGCATGTCCATTACAGCCGCGGATATGCTAAAACGACTGATTAGGCGAGTACAGTTCACCTGATCCGCATAGTATACGCCCCAAGTCATTGATGCTAGCTGCTATGAGCTTGGTTGAACCATTATCTCGGTTTTCCTGCGCTCTGTCGACAAGATGCATGTCCCAACCATGTGGAAGCGTGGATTAGTCACCCCCATTTATAAGAGAGGCGATCACGCAGTACTAGCAAACTCCCGGCCGATTACTATTCTTCCTGTACTTGCTAACTTCATGGAATCTGTCGTTGAAGATGCAGTTATGGAATATTTAGAAAGCTGCTATGTCATCGTTCAGAAGCAGCATGGATTCCGCCCAATCTGCTCATTCGCCACAAATCTTTTGTTAGCACATGCTAGCTAAATGGAATCTGTCGACGCTGGAGAACGAGTCGATGCCGCTTACCTTGCTTTGATCACTTGATCACCGGATTCTTCTTCACATGCCTCGAAGGTACAGGATGGGTGACCTTGTCCTAGGCTGGATTCATTCATTACTACTCCGAGAACGCTTTAATGTGAAGGTTCCTAGCCCTAACTCCGACCCGATAAGGGTTCCTTGTGGCGTCCCTTAAGGCTCCGTATTAGAACTACGCTTGTTCCTCGTCTTCATAAACGATCTTGCTGAACTTTTGACGTCGAATTTTCTACTCTTCGCGGAGGACCTCAAGATTTGGAGGGCAATCAAAATAGCAGACGACCAAATGGCATTTCAGGGTGATCATCCTGAGTTCGATTCACCCTAATCTGTCGGTATCCCATGAAATAGAACAACACAGTTATCTTGCATTTTTGGGTATGCTCATTAAGAGACGGGCTGAAGGTACATTGCAGCTCAATCTTCACCGCAAATCGATTTGGAGTGGACAATACCTTCATTTTTCAAGCTTCGCCCCGATCGCGTACAAACGCGGCTTAATGAAAACTTTCTTCTACCGGGCTAGACGCATTTTCAGCCATAAAACATTAAAAGCCGAATTAGAAATTCTACGCAAGACCTTAATTGCTAATGGATATCCTGAGAAGTTTATTCAAGTAGACAGCAGACATCCTAGCGTGAAGACACCGGTGTTGACGGCTGAGAAAAGGAATGTTTATTTGTTCTTCCGTTCAAGGGGGACCATGTGGCAAATGACATCGGGCTCAAGCTGCGGTCCGCCCTAACGCGAACCGGCACGGCAGCCCAGTTGCGACTCAGGCATACCACGCGAGGACTTGTTCTTCATAACCGTCAGAGCATCTCGTCGGGTAGTTCGGCTTCTCACGTTGTTTATTAGTTCACCTGCGGTTGCGGTGACATTTACATAGGAAGAACAAATCGTCAGTTAACTCAGAGGGTAGCTGAACATTTGCCAAAGTGGTTGGGACAAGTGAGTACGCAACAAAACGGGACGGATCTGAGAATTAATCGGAGTCCAGCATTGTCTATCGCCAAGCACCTCATGGCAACCCGTCATCACGTAAACCCTGAGACAGCGTTCAAAGTGTTATTACGTGACAAAAACCCGATAATGCTGGCAATTAGTGAGGCGTTGTTAATTAAGGCCTATCAACCTGTGCTACGTGCGCAGAAATTCTTGAGGCAATCAATTCGGTTGCCATGGTCTTGACTGTGACCTTTTGATTGGTGTTGCTTATCTTTTCCATGTATATAATCCTTTGTGTGTTTATGCTCGTATTGTGTTTGCGACTGAAGAGAACAATCGAAGTGTTGACATATCGCAACCTCTGTCTTCTTTCTGCCTTGACGCGATCTCGATAAAGCTTGTGAATGGCTGACTCAGAACTTGCTTGAATTTAAATCTGCCAAGTACAAAATAATACAGATACGCTGCCAGATCATCCACTAATATCGAAGAAGGGAACACGTGCTGCAGTGCGCTTGTCATGAAATTGATATCGGGCTGCTTGTGCAAGACGACTTAGAGTGCTCAAAGCAGGCTGAGATGACAGTGCAAAAAGCCAGCCAACACTCGGACACACTGCGGATAACGTTTGGCCGTTTCGATCCTACCATCCTTTCTTAATTGCTCAATGCTTACGTGAGACCACACGCTTAATGCACCATACAGGTGGGGCACCCCTAGCAAAAACATGACCTCATTTCTCTTGAGAAGCCACAACGTATAGCGAAAAAAAATGTGTAGGGATTGCTCTACTTCCGTTAGCAATTGAGACCAAAGACTCTAAGAGAGGCCTATCTCTGAAGTTGGTGACAAAGTATAGCCGGTTGACATGCCCCCGGAACTTTTGCTCGTTTCGTGTATCTCAGCCGTGGCACTTACTTCCACATCTTGTCCTACTTGATGTTACCTTGTCCGTATACAAAACTCGACTTGATGACGCATTACATCAATTAACTGGGACATCTCCAATGCAACCAAACAATGTGTACACCTTAAATTTCTCAGTAAGCCCACAGCAAAGTGTGTTTTTGATTAACATATCCAATTTTATCTAACTTTCTATCTACAGAAAACTGTTGATCCTTTGTTTGTATATTTGTGATAAACCCATTTTTTCATCTATTACTACTACTGCGATGACGACTACTACTACTACTATTGCTACTACTACTACTACTACTACTACTACTACTACTACTACTACTACTACTACTACTACTACTGCTACTACTACTACTACTACTACTACTACTACTACTACTACTACCCCCCAAGTGTGCCTTCAACACGCATACCTCGTTTTACATTTCGTCCTCGGTTAAGTGCACGCTAAAGGAGTGTGGACAACATCCGAATAAACGGTGACTGTCTGACGCGCATTGATACCAAACAGCGGTTTCAATGTGTAGAACTGAAATATTAGCTGAGCAGAAGTGAGACTGCATGATGCCGGAATTTCGACAAAAGAATACCTATATATCGCAAATCCACAAAAGCATATTCTGCTAATGCAGCTACAAGATAAGCAACTGGACGCCGATAACCGCTGAAAACAAGCGCTAAAACCAACGCCCACTCAACACGTCAAATAATCGATAGTTGTGCTGACCCAAGCCATAAGTGATTTTGCTAGGAATAACAAGTGAGTAAAACTCCGTCGTTTTAAGCAGTCGAGACCTCACCAAATACGCGTTCAGTCTATTTGACTGTCTCATTACTCTCTCTTTCCAAGTTTTTTGAGCGTTGCAAACACTCGTTTTAACTATGCCGAGATTTGCATGTGAGTTGTGTTGTACATAGAGCCAATAACTTTATAAAATCCGGCACGGCAGTGCTTTGAGCGCATGAACACATTGGTCGGAGCACCCGGCCCCCGGCCACAACAGCTGCTTTCGGCTGTTCACTCCTGTGGTCAGCGGCAGTGCAACGAGTTTGGTGAGCTACTTAATTAGGGCAACTGAACTTTGTGACCCTCCCTTCCACTGCCTGTAACCTTGCTAGGGACGTTCTGTTGTGGCACAGTAATCTGGTCGGTGGTGTAACACAGGTATGATGCTAGTGGGTCTCTCTCACGAGGTTAGATCATGGAACGATGGATGTTCAGCTTGGGTTAGGGAGTATGCCATGTATGCCATGTACTTCCATTATGTAAGAATTTCACGTTGACGAAACAATCCACCGGGAAGGCGTACCTGATTAGACCATTCATTTTATGATATCGTCTTGCTTGAATGACTGCATTTGGGTCCAAGACTCCATTCTTCTTCCATACCTGCTTCCACATTACTTGCCTTCTGTGTTTCAACTATCAGGTGATGCGGTCGAAGCTGAATGGAAGAGAGTTCACGTCCGTCGAGACGCAAAAATTACCGTTTGCTGCACACAACCTGCATGAGGTGAAGATCGGGAGGGATATTAAGCAACGAGACAGAACCCAATGGTGGCGTGAATAACAAGGCTGGACACAAGACCGTCATACGTCTGGCAAGCTGTTTGTCTTACAGCCTGAAGGTTGTCCACTTGCACAGGCAACTTGTTCCACCGATTTCCGTCGCTACTAGATACAATAGTATTTGGAGCAATGCTTGTCAGCACTTCAGTGTTAGCCGGAAAGTAACAATTGTCGCTGAGAACAGGATGCAAGTTGTGATAGCCTATCAGCGCGGGAATAATGACGATGCCAACAACCAACTCGATGCCGCTTCTAAAGTCCATAGAAAGAAGTGCAGGTGGAACGATTTCTCCTATACTCCAGTGTGAGGCGATATTCATTATATGTACTGGAACGTGATTTTTTGATTGTATTTCCCATTTATGTTCAACCAGATGGTTACGTTTTCATGAACTCTGTACATCTCTTACATCAGCCCAAGATATTCGTGAATCAGATGTAAGAGTTGACTTTCTTTAGAGCTGTTTTGTGTACTCTGTTCTGTTCATCATGATGGACCGGAAAACTCAGAAATAGCCACCGCAGCATTGTATGCATGTTTCTTCGTTATTTCTTGTTATGTATGCACATGCTGGCACAGACGCACACATTTATAAGAACTGTACGCTATACATATACTACTCCATTCCGTATGCATGTGTTGAATGCACATCGACAACATTTCGTTTGGGGTGAGTTGGAACATGAGCGACACACGATTTACACGCTGCTAGTGGCATTCAGACTAACAATAAAATTTTCCAGTTTTGCAAACTCTTGCGGTGTAGGTAGTTATCCATTATCCAGAGCCAGTACATGTCAGTACCTCGATGTGTGCTTTTGAGACTCACTCGGGTATTGGTTAGAGGCTCCCACGACTGCGCAGTGACGCCCAACCAATATATGCTATCAACGTCTCCGCCTTAACGACATCTTCTTGATGCGACCAAGATCAGACACATTCATTAAAGGCCAATCACCGGTCGATATCAGGGAAATCGTGCACCCAGTTGGAGCTGAACCAAAGTAGCATTTTGACTTACACAGACTACTGGGAACCTATGAGAGCATTACAGTATGTTAAAGTCTGAAAGGTCTGTCAAACAGTTGACTGTGCTCACAAAAGTAGTACGGGAGTACGCTTGAAGAAGGCACCTGGGAATACTCCCAGACACTAGAAGGAATACTTGCACAATGTATACTGTTTGAAATATAATGTTTTCATTCTTGTGGAAGGTAGACAGGTAACAACAGCCTGTTGGTACGTCCTACCGAGGTTACCCTTCCACGCGGGCGCTAGGAACACTGCGACTTCGTTTTCACGTAGGCAGACCAGAACAAGTGATTTTTGGGTTACAAACTTTTAGCCCTGTTCAAATGCGGTGACCCTGCTCATGTCGATGACTTACACGCATTACTAGTGAAACTGTAAGAGTAAAAAATTATCCTAACCGACTGAAGCCGCTCCGTTACAGTCCCGATCTTCAAAGGAGGCTCGCGTTCGGAATGCGGCAACCATAGAGTAATCAGTCTGATCCCCATCGCCTTCAAATTGCTTACCTCTATCATCCTTCACAGGCTGACTGGAGCTCGTGAACGCCAGATTCGTTAATAGCAAGCTGAGTTTCGTCGTGGTCAGGGATGCATCGACCACATATTCACACTACGTCAGTTGTTGGAGCACCGTCACCTATATTGGCGGCCCACCGTTGTCGTGTTCATCGACATCAAACATGTTTTCGATCCAGTGCAACGACGTGCTCTTTGGGACTGTCTAGTCAGGAAAGGAGTGCCCGAGAAGTATATAAACATTATGTGAGCGGTTTACGCGCGTGGCTCGGGCGGAGTAAGGGCTTACGGCAAGCGGTCGCCGTCCTTCAGTATCTCCAGCGGTGTGAGACAAGGATGCCCGCTGTCTCGTTTCCTCTTCAACTCCGCTAATGATGAAGTAATGGAAATCACGTTCACAGGACACGAGTTAGAAGGCGTGGATTTGCTCCCAGAAGAACGACTTCTTGACTTGGAGTATGCTGACGATATTGCCCTAATCTGTGACAGCTCACAAAAGTGCCAAGTTGCACTGGACAAATTAGCATTGGCTGTCCTTCATTTCGGGCTTTGCTTTGCACCATTGAAGTGCAAAGCGTTCCTCCAAGATTGATAGGGTTCACCTACTAAGCTGACCCTTGTTGGGGATCAGCTGCAAGTCGTTCAAAACTAACTAGGTAGTTGTAACAGCACGGTTGGAATCGAAGACGAGATTACAAACCGTATAGCAAAGTTCGGGGTGATTTTGCTAACCTTCGACACCTATGGCGCACGCGCGACGTCACTCTCGCCCTGAAGAGTAGAGTGAACAATGCAGAGGTACGTTCGACTCAACTGTACGGTTGTGAAACCTGGCCCCTTAGATCAGCGTATATAAAGTGGCTAGGTTTGTTCGACCATCAGTGCCTTCGCAGTTTGGCTCACATCTGGTGGGAACACCGCGTGAGTAACGAGCGTGCTCGACGCCTTGTTTACGCCACAGAAAAAGTAACTGAACCGCTCAGCACCGTTATTTCACGCAGCAAGCTGCGATGGCTCGGCCACATGTTGCGCATGCCAGCCCACCGACTTCCGCGACGTGCGTTGTTTGCTTACTGGGTGTGTAGATGGAAGAAGAGGAGAGGTGGCCAAGCGATGACTTGGTCGAGAGGAATGAAGGCGCTCACTTCGAAGCTGGCCTCCGTTGGAGCGTGTCGGCTCCCTGGTTGGGGTCCGAAAGACGATGAACGCGTTTGTTTGGATTCACTAGTTGACATGGCTAGGAGCAGACCTCAATGGCGTTTGTGTTGTGAGTTCCTTTGCCCCTCTTCCTCCCCTCCAACTACGATCTCAGTTACTAGGCCTTATGTGACTTTTCGTATCACATTTGCTGGCCGTTATCTCTCGGGAACGATGTCCATTCATTACGGGTAACTCCACCAACGTGCCTCTGTTGCATGTATTTTTGCTTTTGTATTACGGCATCATTGCTGAGGTGTTTTCCACCTGCAAGTAGCGTGTATGCTATTGATAATGATGGGTTACAAACCAAATGTGTGAAGCAATGGGTTAGCATATTGGTAAGGCTAAGCCATAGGAAAAATTCTTTGAGCAATCGGATTACACCCAAACGACTTGTTACGATGGATCCATGGTCCGATGAACGTAACAGGAATTTCAAGCTAGGTATATAACCATTAAACAAAATACTTGTTTCATATGCAGCCAACATTTGAAACTGGGGCAACAAATAGGTGAGGTAAGGCAGAAGTAAATGTCAGCCAGCCATATGAGTACCTGTGTCCATTATTTGTAATCCTGAGCGGTTGTGACACGCCGGTTAATGAGCACGGATGCAGGTAGCTTTGTGATTTCGTGATTCTGGTTCGCCTTAACTCAGAAATTGACGGTTTGCTGTTCGGTCGGTTACCAAGCCACCACGATCCACCGCTGTTGATAGCGTTTCGCTCTCATGATATTGGCACGGAATTACAGGGGATTCACTTACCACATGTCTCACTGTCGGGTCAATGTACGCAACCCTCACATTAAGAGACGAACCAGCTAAAGAGTTTGTATCTGAAACGAAAAACGCTATCAGTGTACCTTGGATTAAAATTATAGCGTCCAGGTTGGTCGCCAAAAACCCAGACCCGACAGACCGTAGGCAAAACGTGAGAATACCAATGAATTCGGTCACATTTACGTTTATTACCAAAACCTACAATCACGATAGCTAAAAGGTACCCAAAAGGAGTCTAGCTAAGTGAGATAGTGGAGGTTGCCAAACACCGTCATACGCAGCATTTGAGGCCAGTCTAGCTTAATCCAAACAAACATAGTCAAGGTTAAAACAGATAAACCGTCAAACTTACTTTGCTAGATTGGGAAGCTACTAGTGAACCAAACATACTGCAAACAAACAGAAAAGCCTCCAAGTCACTGCAAATGTAACTGCTAACCGTTGTTACAGGTGATGCACTTGAAGAGATCGGATCCATGTTATACGTCACCGGCCAAATGATGGGACATCGCGCGGGAAGCATGACCTTCAAGCATAACACAGGTGCAATTGAAGCTGACGTGAAGGGGATACAAAGCAGTAGAGTGTACGCATTTGTTCTGCAGACCAAGGTTAGGTACTAGTGCAGTCAGCCGAGCTACAGTCTCAGGCCGAATAATCAATCCGCAGACCAACTGTACGTACGCACCGGCGAGGATCGGTCAGACCAGCGTTTCGATCCACATAGATGTAGCCACACTTTGCTACCAATGATCAATGGTAAACTGCGAACAGAAAAACCAAATTTTAACAGGTCCAGTAGGATGACGGCTGAGAGATTTCAGAAGATAGAAACCTCAGACAAAGAGACCGAAAACAGTGAACTTGCTAAGCATAAGTTTGTTTGTCTGATTCATTCACACATGGTTTTATACAAATCGAAATTTCACTGTCTTTAGTTTTCCAGCATGCGGTTGTGGATTGATGCGGTTAAGCCTTCTTAAAGTACGCATGATAAATGTGTGCCAAATGCTGCGGTATAACGCGGACAGCGCCGTGTAGTCACGAGCTTTAAGCACAACTAATGTAGGGGATCGAATAACAGGTGTTGGGAATAAATTCTGTATCTGGCAAACATGCAATGAGCAGAAATTCCGAACAAATTTACAACTAAACGGCACACATGGATCACACCGTCTGGGAAGAATTACGATGACTTTACCACTTGAAAACAAGTGTGGTTTTTTTATAACAAATGGAATTTTGATCATAAAATAACATTACTTTCTGCTCACATGGACGGCTACGCCGCCAATTTAGACCTCCCTCTCTTGTGTCGGGGCATTCACTACAAGAGGACCCAGCCAAATTTTTAACTTTCTTCCAGTGAAATTACTTTGTACAATGGACAAGTAAGTGAGGAAGGAGTACCCTCTTTTCACACTCGCCTAGTAACCGAATTGTGACCAAGTTTGACTGATTGCATCAATAGGTCTCCGGTGAACGGTGACACACCACTGTCGCTAACCCCTTTCTGTGTTGGTGAACCGCACCATTGTACGTGAATCGCCAATAATTTTTTACTCTCTTGAAGCTCGCAGAAATACTCAATGAAATCACAGTCGACGGTTTCATCAATCAGCGCTCGGTAACTGCAAGCATAGCAGCTGTGAATCGCGAGGCAATCGAAAGGATTCGCAGGGCAGAGAGCTACTACGAATGCTTATCAATGAGGTTGAGTCGCGTCCGATTTATTATAGTGAATCGCTTTTGCAGGGCTATGAAAGTATTCATTTTGGCGACAGTTCGAAAAATAACCGACCGAGTTATGACTCAGTGCAATTCTTTAAATTCACTTAGGGTGAAGCTCAACCCAGCGCAGATGTCACCAAGTCATGTTGTTCAGCTACCATAGAGCAGTTAGTGTTGGTAAAGATATACGTACCTAATTGCATGTTCTAGGAATAATGCTTAATAGGCTTCTGCATGTTAGGTGGTGCCGTCTAACAACAATGCACTGCACCACCGTTTTTGCGCCTGGTTGCACTCCGCGAGTGCGGCTAGCAGTACTGCAAACCGAAGCCTTTGACTTTACGCCAACGATGCACAGGGATGGCTTGGCACAACAGTCAAGGACTCATGGTGGGATCATTTTGAAACGTATGAATGGACGGATTAGGAGACGCAATCCCAATCCGGGGCGCGTTGTTGGAGACTTGGCACCGTAAATAGCCTGCTTATTTGGTGATACTATATGTTGGTCATGTTGCTGGGACACGTGGTAGCGCATAAC